GGCGATTGACCGATAGATGGTGATCGACCGATAGATGGCGATTGACCAATAGATGGCGATTGACCAATAGATGGCGATTGACCGATAGATGGTGATTGACCGATAGATGGCGATTGACCAATAGATGGCGATCGACCGATATTTGGCGATCGACCGATTGGGCATCCCTGCCTTAGATAACATTTACTAATTTGCTTTTATAATGTATGTGAATGATTTTGTACAGTGGCCCTGTGATGGACTTGCGACCCGTCCAGGGTGTACCCCGCCCCTCACACAATGATTACCGGACATGAGCACCGGCGACCCCCGTGACCCAAGGTGGAAGAAGTGGGTAAAAGATGATGGATGGATGGATGGATGGATGGATGGATGGATGGATGGATGGATGGATGGATGGATGGATTGATTGATTTTGTACATCATGGGTCCTGATTCAGTGTGTGGACTTGGATCTTTAACCCGGCTGGATAAGGAAACGAACAGCTCTAGCTGAATGTGACATCACCTCTTCTGTGGGTCACTTCAGGGCCATGGACTATTCACACTGTAGTCTGATTATGGTCATGTTTAAATTATAATGTAAACATTAATTTATTAAAAAAAAAAAAAAATCAGATCTAAGCCAAAAAATTGGAATTAAGCATTAAACCCTGCAGTGAAAATAGCCATAGAGACAAACAAGCATTCACACTCTTAGCGTTGAAAGTTACAATGTGTTTCCTAACGTGGCCCCGGGTCCTCAGAAAGTTTAGATACGTCCCTGGGAGCTCGCCTCCCTCTAGCATCACCGTCACGTGCGCAGCATCACTGAGTCAATCAGTCCAGCGCGTGATGACGTCTCCCTCACACAGGTGATCTCTATTAGCTTACCTCATATGCTATCAGTTGTCGCCTTTGTTCACCATCAGCTCAGCTCCTTCCGGTGAGAGGGTGTTTTTGTAGCGGGTTTGTTGTTGTTTGTTTTCGGGGAAGCTCCAGTCGGGTTTCGCAGATATTATGCCGGAGCAGTGAAGTCAGGATCATGGCGGAAAATCATCATCTGGACTACCGCTACGTTGAGGGCGCGCATTATAACGAGGACCCGGTGAGTTTTTAACGTCTTTTTGCTGGGGGGGCGTTTATGTTCACGCGCAGATTGTCACGTTCACGAGGAGCTAGCTAGCTACTTTTGTGTTAGCATCAGGCTGCTGAGGACAATGACTGTGGGCCCAGTCTGCAGCGTTATTACGTGGACACTGACAGGCTTGTATACTGTGTTGCATGTCCCGTGAATTATTTTTATTTTATTAGATGGTTGAGTTGCTTTTTTAGACATTTGGTTCATTAAATGCAATTAAATTTAGCTTCTAAACATGTGACTGCCAGTAGTGAAATGGGCCTTCCATTTGGTGAGTGAACACCTTTATTATTATTATAAACATGCATTGACTGTTTTTTTTTTTTTTTTTTTTGCCAGTCTCTGCTTGTGGATATTAAAGCACAAAGCTTCAGTGCATTTCTTCTTGTCCTCTGGTGTTTTAAAATAATTACTAGGACCCAAACATGATTTGTGCCCTCAATCATTTCCCCTTTTTTCCACTTATCTTTAGGTCCTTTTTTTTTTTTTTTTACACTGGAAGATGACCCTTCTTTATATAAACTAGTCTGGTTTGTTTGGTTTGGATCTTAAGGGGTGTCCCCACCAGTCCTTTTAACTGGTGTGATACAGAACCACGAGAGTTCAGTGGCAAAGCACCATGAGTTTAAAACAGAATAGAGGAAGTTACAGTAACTAAAGCATGAATTAATTTCTAATTACGTTAACAGAAGGCATGTTTTGGTGATATCTAAGTCGAAGTCAGTCGACTAAACTTAATACATTACTTTAATTCAAAGAAAATTTGATGCCATGACCATGAAAGTTATTGAACAGGTAAATATGAGCGCGTGATGTGATGCCTATGCACTGATGTGGCTTGGTCTGTAAAACTTTGAAGCAGGATGTCACGCTGGATTCATGCCTAGGTGATGATCCAATCACGCCATCGGTGTCAGGGCTGTGGTGTGATCTTCCAGCAGGATCCAGGATGTGGTCCGGGCATGATCTTTGTGGGTACTTTCTGCTGACATGGTGTAGTGAGATTGAAAGGAGGGTGTAGCTGAGCCAAACATGATGGACAAATGCTTCAAGCAGAGCATCATGATTACCTTCTCTTAAAGGTGTTCAAAGTTTGTAAACTAGCCATGTTCTAATAAATCATAGGGTCTTAAGCCATTGTGATGTGTGCCTTAGCTACGGAGTATATTCAGTTTAGCTGCCAGGGGTTAAAGTGCTTTGTTTTCATTTTTTTTTTTTTTTTTTTTTTTTTTTGTCTTAGGAGCTGATGGCCATTAAAGCAAGGGTTCAAGAGCTGGAAATGGAAGATGAGACGGAGAAACTTAAGGAGGAGGATGACCGATATGACATGGAGGAGATGCAGCTCCTAACCAACAGCCCTCGACCTGGTGAGGCAGTTCACATGTTTTCTACACCTGTTGTTGTGCTGCTAAATACTGGATTATGCTTTTTGGAAGGGCTCGGCAGGAGGAATGTACATATTTGTTTAGCCAGGTGCACTGCAGCCTCAAGTCACAGGAGATGACTACATTCTTTGCCATCTGGCCAACACCTGGGACACTTTGCTGTGGTCACAGCAGTGTTGTGCCTCATCACTGCCCAATGAGACGAAGCAGTGAGCTGCAGAGAACCAGAAGTGACTGTCTTACTGCCTGAGGCTATTATTTTGTCTCTGTAGAACTCATCTTTTCATTCCTGTGGGTTCATTCCTACAACAGATATGCAATTAAAGGAACGGGGTATTTTTTTTAGGTCTAGAACACATTGCAAATATGGATAATGGTGGAAGTAATCAGTGTTTTGCCTAAGGACAATGCAACATGGAAAAAGCTAAGGGTTCAACCATAGACTCTGACTGGAGGTCAACAAAACCAAAGAAGCCTTGCATAGATATTATTTTTTTTTTTACATTTCATGTTTATATTCCCTTCATCACAGGACCCTTCTACAATATGACTCCAGAGGAGCGGATGGATGCAGACAACCGATCAATCTATGTTGGAAATGTAAGGCTTCTGTATCTGTTGTCTCATCATACATGTTTTTACAACTCTGGTCTGACACGATGAATAAATCCCAGGTAGATTATGGAGCTACTGCAGACGAGCTGGAGATCCATTTCAATGGCTGTGGTCCTGTGAACAGAGTTACTATCCTGTGTGACAGATTCTCTGGTCATCCCAAGGGGTAGGGTCTATATATATATTTTTTTTAATATAGGTGCCTATTAATGTTTGGTTATTGCCTACATGTAAAACCAATCATTTTGTAATAGTTTTGCCTTTTTTTTTTTTTTTTTGTCCTTCACAGCTTTGCTTACATTGAATTCACTGATCGAGACTCCGTGCAGAGTGCTATTGGTTTGCATGAGACGTTGTTCAGAGGAAGAGTTCTGAAGGTAAGGGCAGCAGTGATGTCCTGATGCATGCTCAATAATCCAGGTAGAAAAAGTTAAGTCTGGTCCTCTGGACATTCAAAAAAATAAATAAATTAAAAGTAGAAACGTTTCGTCTTTCATCCAAAAGACTTCTTCAGTCTGAGGTGCTGTATTCAGCTCAGTCTTATAAATGGCACATTCTCATAGTGGATCAACCAGTTTGCTGCTGACAGCCAAAACCAGCTACTCACATGATCAATGCAGTGATGTCATTAGGTTTACGCTACAGAAATTACTTTCAGTAATTAGGAGCTGTTTTAGGCTGGGGAATACCCAACAAATCTATCTGAAGAATGCATGCGGTTCAGAAAATCTTAAATTAGCCAGATGTTTCTTTTTTGGGGAGTGGGGGGTGTTAGTTTTTTTTTTCCATTCTCAAACGGTGCTTAATTTGAGACGGATCCTGCCGGAACACAATCCGGAAACTCTTTATTTTGACAGGGTGTGAAACGGTTTGCTTGGATCCGGTAACTCGAATCTCTGGACCCCTAAGAGTCCAAAGTCATCATGCATTTTTATTAAAAATCTCAAAACTATACAATTAAACAGACCAACTAAATTGCTATTAATTAATTAATTAAATTAATTAATTTTATTTAAAAACTATTTATTAAAAATAAAATGAGGAGACGTTGCCCTCCAGTCTGTGGAGTGGATGTACGCACAGAAGCATCTCAGACATCTCTGCAGAGCACGCACAACTGCTGATATGTCGGAACTCGCGCATGCATTTCAAACATCCATCCATTATCTTTTACCCACTTCTTCCATTTTGGGTCACGGGGGTCGCCAGTGCCAATGTCCAGTTATCACTGTGCGAGGGGCAGGGTACACCCTGGATGGGTCCGCAAGTCCATCACAGGGCCACATGGAGACAAACGAAACAAACAACCATTCACTCACTCACACCTAGGGACAATTTAGAGTTGCCAATTAGCCTAACATGCATGTTTTTGGTCTGTGGGAGGAAACCGGAGTACCTGGAGAAAACCCACGCATGCACAGAGAGAACATGCAAACTCCACCCAGAAAGGCCCCCGGATCGGGATTTGAACCAAGGACCTGCTCGCTGAGAGGCAGCAGCTCTACCAGTTGCGCCACCGTGCTGCCCGTCATTTCAAACATAATGCATGTAAATAAAAAAAGCTTACAGTAAAAAAAAAAATACAAATAAATGAAACGTTTGTAGTATTCACACAAACCTCACATTTCAAAACAACGGCATTAATTTGTCAAAATGACATCTATCAAAATGTCAGAGTCTAATTTACTTTCATTTAAAAAAATAAATAATAAAATGATGGACTGTCCTTAGTTGAACAACCAAGAATTGAAGCACCTTAAGGCAGAGGCATTTGAGATTGGAGCAACGCGCAGGACTGAATTCAGCGGAAAATAGTCTGACCTGGAACCATGAAGTGGGGGGGAGGGGGTTACTACGCTTGACAGAATCGGAGCTGCTCTATTCACACACAAAGCTCTCTAAAATAGTGATTGTTTACAAATGTAGATAAACTTGGATGTTTAACAGCCTGTTTAAATCATTTGCCATTTCCTGCATTTTTTTTTTTTTTTTTTTTTTTTTTTTTTTTTTCAGATTTTTATGGGGGAGGACCCCGTCCCCATTCGACCCTCTGGCTATTTGTGTACCGGCATCGATCGGTTTGCAAATTAAGCCCTTCTCTTTAGGCTATGCTTTCACACTACATATTATCAAAAATTACATCAAAGATTAACCATGTTATTGATCTATCTATTTCATACACAATTGGATGTACAGGTGCTGGTCATAAAATTAGAATATCATGAAAAAGTTTATTTGATTTCAGTAATTCCATTCAAAATGTAAAACTTCTATATGATATTCATTCATTACACACGGACTGATATATTTCAAATGTTTATTTCTTTTAATGTTAATGATTATAAATGGTAAAGGGACTGTACTTATCTAGCACCTTTCTATCGTATCAAGGCACTCAATCTGTCCTCATTTACCCATTCATGTCCACTACCAGATCTCTACAAAGCTAATGCAACAAATAATTCTAAAGAGAATAGTCGGTGCTTTTATCACATTCATACATTGATGGGACACACATCAGAAGCAATGAGGGGTTCAGTGTCTTGACTAGGGACACTTTGGCATGTGACTGCTGGTGGATTTGAACCCCCAACTCTTGCATTGGAGGATGACTGCTCTAACCACTCAGCCACAGCCGCCCATAATCATGATTATAACGGACAACTAATGAAAACCCCCAATTCAGTATTTTAGAAAACTAGAATATTACTTTAAGACTAATTTAAAAAAAAAAAGATTTTTAGAAATGTTGGCCAACTGAAAAGTATGAGCATGCACAGCACTCAATACTTAGTTGGGGCTCCTTTTACCTGGATTACTGCAGCAATGCGGCGTGGCATGGAGTCTCAGTTTGTGTCACTGCTCAGGTGTTGAGAGCCCAGGTTGCTCTGATAGTGGCCTTCAGCTTCTGAATTGTTGGGGCTGGCATATCGCATCTTCCTCTTCACAATACCCCATAGATTTTTCTATGGGGTTAAGGTCAATATGGGGTTGCTGGCCAATAAAGAACAGGGATACCATGGTCCTTAAACCAGGTACTGGTTGCTTTGCTACTGTGTGCAGGTGCCAAGTCCTGTTGAAAAATGAAATCTGCATCTCCATAAAGTTGGTCAGCAGCAGGAAGCATTAAGTGCTCTAAAACTTCCTGGTAGACTGCTTCATTGACCATGGACCTCAGAAAACAGTGGACCAACACCAGCAGATGACATGCCCCCCCAAACAATCACTGACTGTGGAAACTTGACACTGGACCTCAAGCAACATGGATCCTGTACCCCTCCTCTCTTCCTCCAGACTCTGGGACCTTGATTTCCAAAGGAAACGCAAAATTTACTTTCATCAGAGAACATAACTCAGCAGCAGTCCCAGGCAAGATGCTTCTGATGCCGTCTTGTTCAAGAACGGCTTGACACAAGGAATGCGACAGCTGAAATCCTTGTCTTGCATACGTCTGTGCATGGTGGTTCTTGAAGTGCTGACTTCAGCTACAATCCACTCTTTGTGAATCTCCTCCCACATTTTGGAATGGGTTTTGTTTCACAATCCTCCAGGGTGCCGTTATTCCTATTGTTTGTACACGTTTTTTTTTTCTACATTGTTTCGTTCCCTTTGCCTCTCTATTAATGTGCTTCGACACAGAGCTCTGAACAGCCAGCCTCTTTAGTAATAACCGTTTGTGTCTTGCCCTCCGTGTGCAAGGTGTCAATGGCTTGTCTTTTGTACAACTGTCAAGTCAGCAGTCTTCCCCATGATTGTGTAGCTACAGAACTAGACGGACCATTTAAAGGCCTTTGCAGGTGTTTCGAATTAATTAGCTGATTAGAGTGTGGCACCGGGTGTCCTTGAATATTTAACTTTTTCACAATATTCTAATGTTCTGAGATACTGAACTTGAGGTTTTCATTAGTTGTCAGTTCTAATCAACATTAAAATAAATGGAACATTTTGAAATATGTGTGTAATGAATGAATATAATACACAAGTTTCACTTTTTTGAATGGAATTGCTGAAATAAATTAAACTTTTTTTTCATGATATTCTAATTTTATGACCAGCACCTGTAGATTATGTTGGGTAAGGTACAGGAAGTAGAGGTGCACCAATTGCAGTTTTCTGGCCCATCAATGATTTCTAAAAGTCTGATCTGCCGATTCTGATTTTGGCCGATACCGATTTATTATTTTTTTGTTTGGTTTTGTAAGCAACATTGTCAAATGTTCTAAGGTCACAATGCACCTTCAATTTTCCAATATTTATTTTGTTGAAAAACATGCCCCTGAACAATATCCTAAACTTGTTTTAACTGGCCATGAGGTTGTGCTCTGAAATATAAATGAAATTCAGACAATTGTTGTTAAAGCTAAAAAAGTTTGTAAAATCGGTTTCTCGTGCAAGTATCGAACGATTTCCCAAAATTAAGGAAATGGGGGGGCCAATATGTCAACTTTGCAGCAAGCTGTTAACGATGCCAAATGTTGTTGAAATGTACTTTGGATATGTCTACAGTAATTATCACCACCATGTGGTTTAATTTTCAGTCTGACCAGATGTATACTAGCAATTGTCTACTAAATTCCGATTAGCACATGTAGGTTCCAGACGGTATAAGGATCCCATAGACAACGACAAAGATTTGTTACACAAAGTGCCCTTGAAGTGAATTGAAATGCTCAGAATTTGCTTTTGACTTTTTGTTGTAGTTCCACTTCTAAAGTGAATGTCATTTTGGCTCAGGTGATGCCTAAAAGAACCAACTTCCCAGGAATCAGCACCACAGACCGGGGAGGAGGACGTGGAGGAGGAGGAGGAGGAGGAGGCGGCGGCGGCGGCGGCGGCGGCGGAGGAGCTCACGCCAGAGGCAGAGGACGTGGTTATCGTCCTCCCAGATACCAAAACAGCTCAAGAGGAAGATTCCGATACCAGTCGACGAGACCTCAACACCAATCCCCCCACCCTTATTACGGAGGACAGTCTGTGGGAAAGAGACAGTGGGGAAACATGGAAAACCACGAACAAACTGCAAAACGTTACCCATGTCTTCTTCTCATCACACCTCCATCAGAGGAAGTGGGGGCAGCGTCAAGTGGACAGAACTACCCTCAGCAGCGTTAGCATTACAGTTTAATTCTGCTGGGTGGGACTGATTTTAAACTGTAAATTCTTTTAGGCGTTGTTTTTTGTTTTTTTTTATCCTGTGACGTACTGGGTTGACCCGAGTCAACCGTACGTCTAGGTGAGGTGTGACGAAAGCTGACTGAGGTCAAGGTTGTTGCTGTGAATGCATGGGAGTCAAGTTATGCTGCTGCTTCTCTTTTTACGTGCTGGGAATGTTGTGTTGTCTGTAATATTTACACTTCCCTATGTGTACCTTTATAAAGTATTTGCTTTGTGATTTAAATAAAACAATGATAAAGTGCTCATAAAATAAACATGGTTGTGTTCAACAATATTTAAGTTTATTCACAATGTTTCAAAAATTAAAGCGACATGTAAACACGCAGGCGAGCTGTACAGTGGATGGTCAGCCAGTTTGTACCATCATTCCAGAAACGATCCCATTGAAAGCCCTGGACCAAAAAACAAACTTTAAATAAAATCCTGTTTAGTACATGTTTAAACAATAAGACAAACTCACTTGGACTGTATCGGGTCACCAGGAGTGTAGAAGGGGTTGCACATTACATCCGTGAAAGAATTGTGCAGTTTTCTGAACATCTAGAAGAATGAAAGGTAAAAGCAGTGAATGGCAAGGGAACTGTACAACGACTCGTTTAATACAGCGTGTCTTTTCTCAAGTCATAGACGAGGGAGACTTGTATATCGAATAATTTTCTTACATAAAGTGCACAGGTAAAATATTTCAAAGAAAATGAAGGGTCTGAAACATTTTCTTACTAAAAGCCACTTTACAGGTGCATCAAAAAATTACTTAGATTTTATTGTCAATTTAAGAAAGTGAAACAGATTTATTACATGGTGAAATATCTCAAGCCTTTATTTCTTGTAATTTTAATGATAATGGCTTATAGATCAAGGAAAACCCTAAATTCAGTATCTCTTAGAATATTCCACAGCCAGTGCTTTGGTACATTTGTGAGTGTGGGCCAGTGCCAAGTCCTGCTGGAAAATGAAATCCACATCTTCATAAAGCTCCTCCACAGAAGGAAGCATGAAGTCTCTAAAATATCCTGGAAGATGCTGCATGGACTGTGGACTTCAGAAAACCCAGTGGACCAGCACCAGCAGAGGACATGGCCCCAAACCATCACTGACTGAAAACATCAAGCAACATGGATTCTGGACCTCTCCACTCTTCCCCCAGACTGTGGGGCTTTGATTTCCAAAAATGACATGAAAATTTAATCTGAAAAGTTCAAAAAAATGTTCAATACAAAAACAACTGGACTTCATTTGTAACAGAAGAAATGTCTTCTGTTACAAATAAAGTTTAGTTTTTGTATTGAACGTTTTTTAAATTTATCGTGACCTGGATGACTGAGAATCTTCACCAGCATAATCTGAAACGAGGTCATTGGACCGCTGATAAACAATCCAGTTCTTTTAGTACAGGTAAGACGCTCCTGACATCGTCTCTGGTTCAGGAGTGGCTCGACTTGAGGAATGAGACATTTGTAGCTCATGTTTAGGAGTTAGTTCATGTAGGGGCAAGGCAGCCAACTTGGGACCAAAAAGTCCTGGGTTCAATCCCCGGTCATTGCACATCTCGTGGTGTCTCTGAGCAGGACACCCTATCCCAAATTGCTCCCCGGGCGCCCACATAGCTGCCCACCGCTCCACCTGGGTGCACCCCAGATGTGATGGGCTAAATGCAGAGAGCCAATTTCATCTTTGCATGGGAACATGCAATGATGACAACACATAGCACTTTATTATTTACAACAAAAAAATAACTTTCACAATACATGTATTCTAATTTTTTCGATGCTCCTGTATATCAGCTTCTCTTGAAAATCCAAGACCAAGTATGACGCTTACATTTCAGTAGATATAGGGTTAAGGAAGATTAGATTTGATAAAAAAGAAAATAGTCAACTCGGTGGTCTAAATATTATTTTGATATTTGACAAACTCAAACTTACACTTCTTATTTCATTGTCCCTCAATGATGTATTTGATGAGTCCACAACAATCACAAATTTCACCTTGGAGTTGGTTACATATCCATATCTATTTCTTGCAGTCAAGGATATAGATTATGTATATTAATTGACACCTATTTTGCTTTTGTCTGTTTAGAACATTTTGATTGATCCCATATAACCAGCTGCTTATAAACATATATTTTTGACAAATAAAAACATTTATCTATTTCTCTTTACAATATAATGCAATGCTGTGATCTACATGTATTTTTATACATGTAGATATTTTTAAAAAATACCAGAAATTTACACTCATTAATATTAAGATGATTTGTTTGAAACATAAGCATAAAGGATACACTTTATAGTCTTCAGTGGGATACAGGAGCCCCAGGTAAAGCTCCCTCTGGTCTCCTAAAGATTTTCCTACAGCTGAGATCTTCTCCTCCACCACATCCAGAGAGGTGTGGACTGTGTAGTGAAACTTCAGCTCATTTTGAGTGGGTACACTGCGAATATACAGCGGGTAGTTCTGATAACAAGAAAACATAAAACAATTAGTTAAAAGAACCTTGGTCAAAATCTCTTGGAAAACAGAATCCGTTTTGACAGCAGATAGTCTAATGCTAACGCTAATGTTAGCATATTTTGCAATATATTTCAACCTGCTGACCATTTTCACACAACTGACAATTAGCTGGAAACGACTATCTGAACTATTAAAGCCTTATACGTATATCAAACATGTAATATATGTATAAATGCATATAAAACGGGACATTTAACAAGCAATCCTTACCTCCTTAGCGATAACTGCTATGCACACCGCCATGTTAGTTGTGTTTTTCCTCTAAACTGTCAGCTGATGTCACGTGATACGTTGTATTCAAGTAGTCACGGAAAAACGAGCTTCTACAAGAATCTACTTAAATATTTGGCTTAATTTGTAATGTTTCCATCAAATTATATGTCCGCTTTACCCATAGAAGTAATAAAGTCCGAAAAATAATGTTGGTTTAATTGTTCACTGTGACATTTTATCTGCGTGTCATTATTTCTGCCTCTTGACAAATTTGAACAGTTTACAGATTATCAGTGGCCGATAAATGCAACACAAAACAAGATCGCTACGATGCTGATGAAGTTGTACAACAAACCCATGTGAATAAAAGCTAACATCAGTTAATCTCTTAAATTAATTGTTGAAAACACGTCTTTTATTTTACTTCCCGTGCGCAGGTGCTGCACGTGAAGAGGAGCTTGAAAGCAAAACAGAAAACTTCCTGGATGTTGGCGCTTGTATGACTGAAGCACAGCAATGAGTGTGTCTGCGCCAACATTAAGCCTCCTAAGTTTATTAATATGTTATTCGGTGGCAGAGAAGCTGTCAGATGTTTCACCTCCAAACATTATCATCATGCTCATGGATGACGTAAGATATTTTTCATTTGTTTGCTTAAAACTTCATCACATCTGCCCTGTCCATTTGTTTTAGTCACAGCTGTTTGTCAGCTTCTTGTAAATGTCATGCTAAGTTGTCTTCCTCTGTTTTTGTCAGATGGGTTGGGGGGATTTGGGGGTGCTGGGTCAGCCTTCCAAAGAGACCCCCAATCTGGATGCAATGGCTGCTCAGGGCATGCTCTTCACCAACTTCTACACAGCCAACCCACTTTGTTCCCCATGTGAGTCAGCAGAAAAGTGCACAAAACTGATCTCTAATCAGCACAAACTGTCTCAGCTCAGCTGTTGCCTTGCTGCTTAATGCACGTTGATTACTTCACAATGAACTAACAGCCCATTTATGACTTAAAAGTTCAAATTTGTAGCTGAACTTTTATGGGAAAAGTGTCACAACTAAACCAGGGTCACAACATTGATACCTGGGCAAACATAACATAAAAGAAAATTGATGAATACTGTAAATTCAAATCAATAAAACATATTTTAAGTCTTTAAAAGGAGATGTTTTGCATTTTTATTTCAGTCGACATCGAGTTGAATCGCATTTGTTAACAAGTTTGTGTTAAAACGAACAAAAAATATTACAGTTAGACACTTTACATATTCAAGGATAACATACATCTCAAAAGGGAGCGTATTAATAGCTTGTTTTAGTCTGATGAAGACGTGATAATCGCCTCTCGTTTTACTCTTTAAATTTAAAAGTGCATTTTGTTTTCCATACCTGCCCCCATTAAGTTTTTAACCTTCTTTGACCGATGTTTTTATTTTTTTGATGAATCAATTGTTGCCATGTGACATAGCTGAAAAGCGGGCAAACCAGTCTAGTGTCGTTCTCGTGAGGCTCTTGTCACATGTGGAGAATGTGGTTTGGTCTTAGCAAAATACTTCACGAACCAGTGTACCCATTTTAATGAGCTCTCAGAAAGTAATCATTGGATGTACACTGATAAACCTTTGGAGTCAACCCAATTCAAGATGGCCACCACAGCTACTCAGCAAGAGCAAGCACAAAACTGGATACAACAGTTAACTGCACAAACACTGAGCTAAAACTGAGCGTGGTTGTAGCCGAACGTCATCTTAAACTCATATTTCAACATTAATTTTGCACAATATCTTAGTGTTGTAGTACTTGAGACCAGTCTCAAGACCACTTTTTGATGGTCTTGGTCTCGTCTCGGACTCAACTGCATTTTGGTCTCGGTCTTGGACATTGAGGACTTGAGATTTTATTTCAAGACCACAGCTGTGGAAATATCACTAAATTGCCAGAATGTTGTCCAGTTTATTTGTTAACATCTTTGTTTTTATTGGATGCAAAATGTACTGGTAAAAAATATTTTATAATAAAATTTTACATTTTATTTATTTTATTTGAGGTCTTTGTCTCGGACCTTAAAAGTCTTGGTCTTGTCTCTCGGTCTCAGTACACTCTGGTCTTGACTTGGTCTCGGGTTAGGTGGTCTTGAACGCAACACTACAATATCTATGTTCAAAACTTGTTGGAGGCACACCTGTCAGTCTGTTAGCAAAATATTTAATGAACCACTGGCCAAAGTTGTTGAAACTCTGAAAGTAATAATTGAATATACATCTTCAGCTGATGGATTTTCGAGTCAAACTTTTTCAAGATGGCTGCCATGGCTACTCAACATTAGCTAACACAAAAATGACTGGATGTCAGTCAGTTTTGTGCACGTTGAGCTTAAATTATTTGGTGGTGGTAGCTGAGAGTTGTCCTCATTATGCACTCTGAGCACTTCCAGACTTTTCAATACTTTTATTTAAAATGTTGACAACCCTTCAATAATTGCTAGTTATTTAATAAAGACTGCATCAATTGCTTTATTTTATTTTTTTATCTTAGAAGGATAAAAAATAATGTAATTTTCTGTTTAAGCGCTTCATTTTTGGAAGAATTATTTTAACTGAACAACATAAAATGTTTTTGTCCACAGCCAGAGCGGCTCTTCTCACTGGGAGGCTTCCTGTCAGAAATGGTTTCTACACCACCAACGCTCATGCCAGAAATGGTAAACGCTCATAAATGTTTCAGCTGCAAACGATTCCTTTCACTTTTCGGACCACTTCATCTGCAGTGTGGACAAACATGTCACGGCAAGTTTTGAACAATACACCTTTGTTGTTATGTTGCCTCTTCTGTAGCATACACACCCCAGGAGATAGTGGGGGGGATCTCCAAAGATGAGATCTTGTTGCCGCAGTTGCTGAAGAAAAAAGGTTACGTCAGCAAGATTGTTGGAAAATGGTGAGCACCTTGTCTCTGATTTGATTTAGTGCTTTGAAAGTTTTGTGATCAATGATGGAAACGGCATTTAAATCATTTCCTGAAAAATAAAAACATCAATAAACAAACAGAAGTAGAAAAGAGAAGATATTTATATTTAAAACGTTCTGTTAGAATATGAGTTGTAGGATTGTACATTGAGCCACTTATGTTACAGAGCAGAGGTGTCTCAAGTGCAGCCCAAGGGCCATTTGCAGCTCTTGAAGGGATTTAGTGCGGCCCACAACTGCAATTTAAGAATGGTATAATTTTGGCCTGCAGGTTGATGCAGATGTAGACCTTCTACGAATTAAGTGGTAATACTTGTTATATAAATTTTGGGATTAACAGCAAAACATGAAAAACAATTCTTAAGATGAGCAAAAAACACACACACATATACTGTATATATATGTATATATATATATATATATATATATATATATATACATGT